AAATTAACTTTATCACAAGCATCTAAAATTTTCTAGACTTTCTTTTAAAAAACTGTCTGAATGCTGCAAATAATGGGGAGAGTTCAGGCAGGCAATTATTTATTAGGCAACATGAAAATTAAATGTAAAAAATATAATCATTGCTTTGTGTTATTGGACTTAAAATGAATAGAGGTGCTATTTTCCCTTTGTGATTGAATGATTTTCAAAATCGCACCAATTATCTTGGTTTATTGTATGTGTATCTGTTTTCTTTTAAGGATATAAGTCCCTAAGATTAGTTAATAAAACATTTCATTAGTGTTTGCTATTATTATCCAATGTGTGTCTCTACATATTATTAGGTTACAAGGTCCTGATTGAACTCATGTATATATATATATATAAATGTTTTCAAAGTCATTCATTGAGTTTTGTTTTATGTTTTTATTGGATAGGTTATGTTGAATTTTTTGTTTTAATATTTAAAGGAAAACATACTTATTTTAAATTAAATTCCAAATGATTCCTTTCAAGCTATCTGATTTTTTGTTTGCTGTTTTTTAGTTTTAGGTTAAGTTAGTTTTGTTTTTTGAAAAACAGTCTTGTTATGTACCCCAAGCTGATCTCAAACTCATAGAGCTCTTCCTGCCTCGGCCTCACTTGCACCACATCCCCAGCTCAAGGTATATGCTTTTGTGGATAGAGCCCACCTTATAAAAACTCATTTTCTATTTCTCTATGAAATTTCTTCTCATCTAATAGGAAGAAAAATGTCATTACTGTAAAGTAGACTTTAAGATTGAGGTTATCTATGCATATCAATGGCATTTAACTATAAAAGGAAAGTATCCAGGGTGTCACGTAAACTGTAGTGAATAAGTGGGACACATTAATGGTGGATTTGGATGATGATGATGATTTGTCATTACTGTGCTATGCAAAGAATTTGACTATGAAGAATATGAAAACAAAATGAACATAACTCTTACTTGATTCCTGGTCCACAAAAATTTAGACTGGCCTGTAAGGTTGATAAAAAGAATAATATTATGGCTCTCATTCTTTTGTATATATATTTCAAGATATTTAATATAAGTAAGCAACATATGCAACTTAAGAAGCTATAATGTTTAAACCCCGAACATTAAAAAAATCACTTTTACAATTTAGTTTTACACAGATCGTATATTGCTTTCACTTTTTGAATCTGTCTCTCATGAAGGACTTTATATGGGTTTTGAAACTACTAATCTACCTCTAAAAAGGTCTGTAGCATCCACTTTTTCCGTGGCATAAGTTGAGAAAATGCATGTTGCTCATTTTTACTTCCATTTATGCGATTTATAAAGAAAACAGAGTAGTACACCCATATCACATGGTATATTGATAAGGATTTTCTGAAGGGGTACATCAGTTCCTAGCCCACCTAGAATGTTACCTTACAGCGAAGTAATGCCCACAGCAAACCTAGTGGGTGTTGGTAAACTTCCCTCCTCGATAACTCTTATACCATAATCCCTGTAAACCTTTTCAATTACAGAAGCTCCACCTTAGCCATCTTTTCTCACTCTAGATTATTTTTTGGAAATTCCAGGTACATCTATGGTTTCAAGAGTCCCTTTTAAGACAATGACTCCAAAATCTGTATCTAAACAGGTATTTCCTGTCTTCTGGGGTGGGATTGGGTGTGTATGTTCTACTGCTTATTGGGAATTTCCTCCATGGATATCCCACAAGTACTCAGCATTCCACATTACTCAAATCTCCCCTATCTCCTCTCTTAAGCCTGCTACACCTTACTTACTTTCTATCTTAGCAAATTATTCTATGATTCACACCATCCCTTCACCATGTTTTCACCACATAGAGACTTAAAGGGTATCACATTGGTTCATTTTCTATGAACTGTTTCTTCAGAGATCTTCTGCTACCTCTAAAATATGACATTTTCTGTTACAGGCCATTTGATTCTGACCTGGTTTTAATTGTCACACTAATCTCATACTAAACCAAGGTGTTTTAGCCTAAGATACGTGAACTATAAAGGACTCTGAAAATGGGTGCACAACTATATGGTCCCTTTGGAGTTACATGACGGATTCTGAGCACAGGTATACATGTATTTTCAGAATTCTGTAGATCTTGGTCAGTTTCTCAAAGCTGATGCTTTTCTAAAATCTAGGCCATTTCCCTTAATATGGCCTCTGTTTTGAGTCTACCTTCACCTAGAATATGTCCTAGGTGGTCATTATTAGTAGCCATCTCTGCCTATTACTACACCAAAGCCTGGCTTTTGGGCAGCCAGACTTCATTTCCTGATGTCCACAAGGAGAGAGGGGATATTTTCTGAGTCTCTTGTTATAGGAATATTTATTTATTTATTTTTGACAAATCTTCTTTGCATCATCTTGCCACTGTTGAGTTGCTATTTCCTGATTCTGTGTTATTTTAAAGAAATATTTCCTTTCACAATCACTAGCTGCAGTCATATCTTCATGGTTTGAAAGTCTAACTTCAGTCTCTTTCAAGCAGTTTTGCCAGCTTTCAATTGACTATTAAAATTTCCTGGATCTCTCTTTGAATCTGTTTCATGCATTGTAATTCCTGTCTACACTCATTCAAGGTTTCCATCATTTTCCTATGCTCTGTTTTTGTCTATGTCTTCTTTAGATTTGCTGAACAATTCTTTCAGTATGTTTGTGATTTCTTCTTTTACCTGAGACATTATTTCTGATTTGACTGGTTTTACAATCTCATGAAGTTGTTTCCTTTACTTCAGTTGCTATGCTTTCAGAGATTTCAGGCGTGTGACTTCCATTTTCTTCCATGACTGTATCTCCCAGACTTATTTTGTGTGGGTTAGAGGTCTGAGTTTGTCTTTTGCTTCTTCATCTTGACATTCTCTTGGGTTCCTCCCAACAAGCTGATTGTAGGGCCCCAGACACTTCCCACGTTGACTGCCCCCTTTTTCTATGAATTTACCTGCTATCAGTATTTTATCCAAATAGAATCAGATAATACTTGTCCTACTGTATCTGGCATTTTACTTAGCACAATATTTCCAAAGTTCATCTGTGTTTGCTATATAGTATATATCAAAACATCATTCATTTTTATGGCTGAATAATAGCCCATTGAAAATATATATCACATTTGTATCTGATGATGGACATTTGGTTGCTTCCAACATTTGTCCTATAAATACTAATTTTATAAAATAGAATGTGTAAGTATCTGATTATGAGTTTTTGGATATATACCTAGGAGAAGAATTGTTGGGTCATGTGGTCATTTTATATATATAATTTTTTGAGGAGCCACAGAACACCCAAAACAGCAGCAACATTTTATGTTCACATCAGCAATATATGAGATTTCAAATTTCTCCAAATTGTCACAGACATTGGTTGTTTTCTGTTTTATTTCAGCCATCTCAGGTACAAAGTGGTATCTCCTGGGGACTTTATTTGTATTTTCTAATGAATAAAGATGTTGTGTATCTTTTCAGGTGCTTACTTGTATATCTTCTCTGGAAAAATGTCGATTCAATTCCTTTTCCCATGTTTAAATTGTTTTTTATTATTGTTACTGAGTTGCAGCCATTCTTTATAATTATTTTGAATATTAACCATTTATTATAATTCTTATTTGTAAGTATTTTCCCATTCTACCATCATTTTGTTTTTTGTGTAACATCCTTTGATGACACTTTCTTAATGTAATGAAGCACAATTCATCTATTTTTATAGCTTGCCTGTACCTTTGGTGTTGTATTCATGAGGTAGTTGCTAAATCCAGTATCACGAAGATTTTCTCCATGTTTTCTTCTGAGAATTTTACAGCTTTAGCTCTTAAATTTAGGGCTTTTATCTATTTTTTTAAAATTTTATTTAAGGAAGAAAAAAAGCAGAGAAAGGGTACAAGTTATACAGATTTACAGAAAAAAATAAACAGTAGGAAATCACTAGTTAATGGATTACATATTGTCATCTTAGAAATAGTTGTTCAAGTCACAAAGTTAAAGCTTGTAAAGTGGACATTCCAACAGTGAGACTGCAAACAGTTCTAATTTGAGTTAATTTTATATATAGTATAAGATAAAAATCCCACTTTATTATTTTACCTGTGAATATCCTATTTTTTCAGAACTACTCTTTTGAAAAGACCACCATTTCCCTATTGAATCATCTTGGCAACCTTCTTGAAAATCAATTAACCACATGTATAAAGCTTTAATTGGGCTCTCTATCTCCCTTGGTCTAAATGGTTGTCCTTATGCCTGTATGATAGTATTTTAATTACTATAACTTTATAGTAAGTTTTAGAGTCAGGAAGTAGGAATATTCTAGTTTCATCCTTTTAAAGACTGTTTTGAAGTTTAGGTTTCCTTGAAACTGCATACAGATTTGAAGATGAGCTTCTCCATTTCTGTGGGGGAAAAGTCTATTAGTATAAAATAAGAATTGTGTTGAATCTCTAGATCACCTGGGTATTATGGACATCTTAACAATTTTAAGTCTTCCTGTCAACCAACACAGAATATCTTTCCATTACTTAAGTTTTCTTATTCCAGAAATATTATATGATTCTCAGTATAGAAGTCTTTAACCTCATTAGTAAGAATAATTCTTTTGGGTACATTGTAAGTGAAACTTCCTTTTTAAACTGTCATTGCAAGTATCTAAAAACATGACTTTTTATGTGCAACTTGGTTGAACTTGGAGTTCTTATAACTTTCAAGTGGATTTTTTGATACTTTTCATATATAGGATTATATCATCTGTGAATTTCTCTTTCTCTAGTTTGGAAAATTGTGTTCATAATATTTTAAAGCTATAAACAGAAATCAAGATTTATATGAAATGCAAAAAAATTTCATTGGAATTTGACTTTGCAGATTACTACAGATGACTAAATTCTTCTTTGTAAAGTTTTTATATTCTTAATTTTAATGAGAAACTATTTCCCAAAAACTTAGATGCTTAAAAGAAACAATGAAATAAAAGGGAGATATTACTGAGAGAAATGGGCTCATACCAATGCAGTGGTTAATGACTGTCTGTTGACTTTAAGCAAGTCCACATTTATTTTCAATCATTATTAACCACTGAGAATTGGAGGAAGTTTTTGGCCTGAGCTAGCTAGACCCAATAAGTGAAAAGTAATATTCTTCCAAAAGTTAATCTGAAAGATTACCACTATCCAGACTGCTGCTTACACAACATTAGTTAGTATGTCTCTATAAATTTTCCAATCCATTTGGCGGTGTTCTTCATATGTTCTCATTGTGACTTTTTCTTTCTGTTTTGTAGTTGTGATGCCATTTGAAATGAACAATCAGACATTTGTCACTGAATTCATCTTCTTGGGATTTTCAAGTCACTCCAACTTGCAGGGCTTCTTCTTCCTAGTCTTTTTGGCCATTTACCTGACAACTCTCCTGGGGAACGTCCTCATAATAATGGCTACCAGGATCTATCCTGTTCTCCACACCCCAATGTATTATTTCCTCAGCAACCTGAGCTTCTTAGACATCTGCTATACATCTACTACTATTCCAGTCATGTTGGTGAACTTCTTTCGGGAAAAAAAGACTATCTCCTATGAGGGCTGCCTTTCCCAGATTTTCTTCCTTTTGACATGTGCTGGCACTGAGGGTGTCCTACTGGCTGCCATGGCTTATGATCGCTATGTGGCCATCTGCCATCCTCTTCAATATCCAGTACTCATGAGTGTGAAGGTCTGTGCTTGCCTGGTGACTGGGTCCTGGCTCTTTGCACTGGTGAATTCTGTGACACATACAGTGCTGGCAGCCATGCTTACTCTGTGTGGGCCCAATGAGATCAGCCACTTTTTATGTGACATTCCATTACTCCTGAAGCTCTCCTGTTCAGACACTTCTGTCAATGAATCTGTGCTGTATGTGGCCAGTGCCACCATCGGCCTGAGCCCCTGCCTGTTTACTGCAGGGTCCTACGTGCTCATCATCTCAGCCATCCTTAAGATTCCTTCTGCTACAGGCAGGAGCAAGTCCTTCTCCACTTGTGCATCCCACCTCACTGTGGTGGTGGTCTTCTTTGGGACAGCCATCTTCAACTATGACAAGCCAAGTGAAGGCTATTCTTTGGACATGGACATCCTGATCTCCGTTCTCTTCTGTATAGTGACCCCCTTGTTGAATCCCATCATCTACAGCCTGAGAAACAAAGAAGTAAAGGATGCCCTAGGGAAATTGATTGGAAATTAAGGATTCTCTGGTGAGATCAGTAGTTAATGTTTTTTTCTTCAAAAAATTTCTTAGTTAAAAAATATAAACATTCCAACCATAATTATAGTACTCTTCTCAATATATATAGCATCTCTTGACATCTGTTGTGCCATATCCCAGAGCATCCAAGTACACTTATGTCTATCATTTACACACTGTAATCTTATACATTATGTACATCAATCCACCGGTATGGTATAATATTTTCATCACTATTGTCCCCAGAAACCCTATACCAATGGCAGTCATTGGCCATTTCTTTCCAATTTTCCAGTTCCAGCCTAACACTAGTATATGTGAAGTGTGACTTTCATTCTTATTTCCCCAATAATTCATTATTCTAAGGTATTTAATAACTCTGTGTTTCTTCTTCACATATGGAAAAACTCATATCCACTTTCCTTATCTAAAAATATTTCTATTCTGAATGCTTGCTATATAGGCAATAATTTAACGTATCTTTTGAGTTTAACTCCTTTCACTTAGGTCAGTGTTTCCCAGATTCATCCATTTTATGGCCTAGATCAGTACTTTATTCCATCTTATTGCTGAATAATTTGCATCTTATGAGTATACTACATTGATTTATGTGTTTTCACTGGATAGAAATTTTGGTCACACTTTGATATCATAATGTTAAGTGAAATAAATGGACAAAGTAGCTTAAAAATCACATGGTTTCTCTTATATGAGAAGCTCAAATTATAAAGTGCAAAATAACAAATAGATAATAAGAAGTAAGGAGATTTTTTCTTTCTGAAATGGAAGGGGACCAAGAGATGCAAGGGAGGTAATGAAAAAAGAATTAGGGTATGCTGTGTACCAATTCCACACAGAGGACAAAGACATTCTGCACTGTAAATATATATTAATAAAACAAAATAAATGAATAAAAATTTTTAAAAAGAAAATTTGGTCATTTTTACGACTAGTAGCAACAAAACTTTTGGACTAGAAGGAACATTCATGTACAAATTATTTGTGGACAAGATGTCTATCTTGGGTTTATGGCTAGGAGTACAAGTGGTAGCTTCTGTGATAACCTGGCATACAACATTTTGTAGAATTATCAGACTATTTTCAATGCAATAATATGATCGTATATAATTACTAAGAGCAATAAATCTCTACCTCCTCACCAATACCTTGTTATCTGTCCTTTCATTATAGCCATCTCAGGTTGTATGAAGTGATATATCAAATGTAGTTTAGGTTTATATTTTCCTAATGGCTAGTGATTGCAATATCTTTGAAAAGAACTATTCCTGTGCTTTTCCTACCCATATAGAAGAATCTAATGTTACTAAGACATCTTTAAACTCAGAAACTTAACTTTTGACACTGTCTAATTCTTGTATTTTACTTTTTGTGCACTAAAATGTGACAAGACATTCAAGATTATAGCCTTATCTTAATACAAAGCTACTTGAGGGGTCTCCTTTTTTCTCCTTTAAACTCTACAGCAAGCAGTCATCAGTAGCTATGAGCAATGGCAGGACCAGAAATCTAGGGCATAGGAAGGTGTTGGTAGGCAAGGAACAAAGTGCTTTGTCCAGGTTAGTATCCCTAACTACAAGGGCTTAGTGCTAAGATAATGCTGGTATGCAGTGTGGTCAAAATATATAGTGAATGTTTAATTTTTAAAATTTATTACAATATAAGATACCTTGTCATTAGAATACTCTCCCTCAACTTGAATACTTGAATACACTTATCTTGCTGTTCTTGATAATGAATCTTTTATTATAATGTTATTTAATCTAAACATCACTGCAGTTTTTGATCATCCCTTGTATTGTGGCTCTTGAGACCTGTCCAACTGGTAAGGCAGGTAGTGTGAAAGTCCAGGTCTAAGGGGGAAACTTTCTGTGCTATATGAAATATAACTAAATACAGTAATAACGCATCCACTCTTACTCCTTCTCTCCTTAAGAAGAATGAGAAGCTTCTCACAAGATTTCAGCCACCCATAATTCCTTGGAAAAAATTCTTTGCTGATCTTTACTCACAAATGTCCCCCAAAGAGGTGGGAAACTGATCATCTCATTTCTTGCTGGGAAAAGATGAAGGCCAGAACCTTATTGGATCTGAGAGCAAATTAACTGCTCTTCATTTCTACAGTTTCTTTCTATTCAGGCTGTTGCCCTTGAGTTGTGTTTGCATAGTGAGGCATCCCAGAACAGCTGCTCAGAGAGAAATTAGAAGTATAATCCCAAAAGGTTGGCCCATGAGCATTTATAAGTGGCCATTTTAGAAAACTGAATTGTGAATGGGATTTTTGACTCCTTCATTAGACAACAGACATGCTCCAGTAGCTTTGGGAGTGATAGTTCCTTTTATGATGCATAGATGTCATCAGCCCGTTTTTTCCAAAGGGTGTGCTTTGTAGCCCAGACACTAGTGTGAACAACATCAAGCTCCGTATCAAATCAGAAATCCAAGCCTTTCAGAAAGAATCTGTGGTAAGTAGTTTTATTTATTTATCATCAGAATTTTAAAAGCTCTTCCAACATCAGGATATATCCCTTACTCCTTAAGAACATATTATAGAATATTGCACATATTTTCATTATCATTTTAATGGCATTTCTGTAATAACAGTTTTAATATATTTTCTGGGTGTGTACAGATTTCTGAAATAGTACTTACAGAATCAGAATAGAAATAACTTCAGAGACTATCTCTTCCAAAACCTGAGAAATGCCTGAATTATTTCATGTAATGTGAGCAGGAAATTTATTCATGGTAAATAATGCATAATGCTATGTGCTAATCTTCTGTTTTAACAAGCAGAACCAAGAGTACTAACTGAGAAATACGGATAGGTACATATTTCCACTATGCTGGTTTACAGTGTGATTGTAGGTACACAAAAATATTTGTTTAAATAAATATAATTAACTAAGTATGAACTTATGTTTAGAAACATATTTAGTTACTAACTGTTGGTTTTTATCTTTACACTGTAACACATGATCCTTGGGGTGTGCTTATAAGCAACATATTACCTGTCATAAAACCTGAAGCTGGTTAGTGATTTACTTCACCCACAATCCTTTTTCTAAGAAAAAAACGTATCTCAGGGGTTATTTAGAAATAATCCTATTCTCAACAATTTGCCCTTGAGTTGATAACAAAGAAGCAGAGATGCTGTTCTCATTTAGAAACGGATCAAGGTCAACACACCATCTGGAATCATTGCTCTTAGGATAGTAGACACTAAGTCCCTCATTAAGTCAGTTTCTGGATGTGGGGCTAAGACATCACAGCTATGCCCCCATGGGCTTTTCTTTTTCATAGATCTTTAAGGTATTTGCACCAAAGACCTCTGAATAGAAGTGTCTTCCAGAGTTCTCAAATTGCTCTTTTAATCCTTTGGGGCTCACACACTGCTGTCTTTAAAGAATCTTTTGTGATTTTTTACTCCCATAGATGTTCTTCACTGCCCTTTTTATTCATCAAACATTTACTAACTGTACGTTTACAGAGAGCTCCACGCGAGCGTTAGCACAGACTGAAAGGCCAAGACTGGGACCTCAAAAAGTGTGTATTCAAGGAAGGTGGGAGGCTGGGGGTTTAGCTCAGTGGCCATGAGTTCGATCCCTGGTACTGATAAAAAAGGAGAAAGACAAAAAAAAAAAAAAAAAAAAAAAAAAAAGAAGGAAGGAGGGGTTTGAAGTGTTCAAGTAGAGGCTATCCAAACAAAACTAAGTAAAAAGTAACGATAATAATTTTAAAATTAAACAAAATGTGACAGAAATTGCTCTCTGCTAGTGAATTTTATATTTATATTGTATTGTAAGCTCTTTAAAGAACAAGAATCAAATCTTATTCCCCTTTGAATTTTTTCCTAATACTAGCACAGGCATGCATTAACCTTTACAAAGGAATCGAATTGGTTTGAATTGAAACTAACCACTACCAGGAAAAGATTGGTGGAAAATGTTGACAGGAAATGAGAATTTCATAGTTTGAAGAATTTTGTAATTCATGTATCATGTAGTCTTCCCTTTCCTCTTCACACAAGGAGAAACACAGGTCACATATACAAGGCTGAAAGAAATGTTAAATGCCACAGTGAATTTCTGGGACAGGATGAAGACTTTTTCATGGTGAATTTGTCAAACAAAGGCTTTTAGCTTATTAGCTAGTGGTAAGTGCCGCTCTCCCTATTAGATTGTAACAGCCTAAACTTGCCCCTAAAAAAGCCTGGTCCTTGCACCAGTAGCACCACTGTCATGTACAGCTAGTGGGGAATGTGTACATTAAAGTTTGAGAAGTGTGGATCTGCTCAGGACCTCTGATCTTCCATCTGGTCCGAGGTACCTATGTTATAAGGCAGTTTATAAATAGAAATCTGGGTTAGGTCAAAACAGCTCATCCCTTCCAGAGCTCCACAGCAGTAAATTAACTTCCTCACAAGCATCTGAAATCATTTATATTTTTCTAAAGTAAATTATCTTATGTTACTTATGCTAATAATTGTGTTAAGTAGATCAGCAACTTATAAAAACTAGATTTTAAAAATGTAGTAATTGTTTTGTTACTGAAATGAAATATGAATAGATATTCCCTAATGTGCTGTAAAGATTTATACAATCACATCAGTTTTCATGGCATATTTTATATTTGTTTTATTTCCTTTAAGGAAAGAAACCCCTTAAGGTTAGTTAAAGAAATATTTCATTTATTGCCAAAGCAAAGAAAAAGTTTCCTTTTAAAGACTGCTAGGCTTATTTATTTTCCAGTTGATTTATATTTAGTTTTAAAAATTATTTATGTTTAAGTTCAAGACCAGATTTCTATTGAAATTTAAATACTTTAAGCTCCTTAAGGCCTTAAGATTTGGAATTTTTAATGAACACTGTGTTGAACTATTAATCATGTGCATTGAATTCTTAGTATAAAAGATAAGAGTTCTTAGGCATTGAAAACTAATAAAGGGTTTACAAATATACAATAACATTATAGATAACATAAAGTATCATGATAAATAATAATCATATGACAAACTCTCTGTCTCAGTTTCTTTCACTGCAAAATGGGAATCATAGGCTGTCTGATTGTTGTATAAATCCAGTGAGTTAATACATGTATGTAAAAATCTTAGATGTAATACAC